CTGTGGTGGTCTGTCTCTATCATGATCTTGTGTGAGAAAGTGTAATTATGTTACATTGCGTATGTCAGCTTCGTATTAGATTCTGACTAGATCTCACTTTTCCTAGACCACTTTTTTGTACGGTTAATAGACTGGTTTGTGGCTTGTGCCTGTCCAGTCTTATTAAAGTTTTTTTAAGTATGGATAAATTCGCAGTTCTCTCTTTATGATTGGTACGTTTTAATATGACTGTTTGAGGCCCATTTTACTTGAACATGCATGTTTAAACATAAGCCTAGTGGAATTTATATGTTTTATTTGAATCTCATACAGAGGGAATAATAGATTAATAAAATATTAAGAACACGTTGACTGTGTTTGGATATAGACTTGTAACGTAATGGAGAAATTGTGTACGTGACTCGGGGTTTGATTCCTAGAGGGACTTGCTTACATGTTCACAGAGATGCTTCGTGTCTCTGTCACTTTTCGTCCTGATGATTGAAGCAGTAACATGTCTGTTACGTCGAAAGCTTCTACCAGGCAACACTGCACTACATGAAAGAAGACAAATCTAGCCCGAAAATGTTCGATCTAGCATCTTGTACAGAATTGTGTTCATTGCGTTTTGTAATCCTTGTGTATTTGGGACACGTTGGGACAAATTGCTTACGAGTAACACTGACATCAAATTGTTGGGTTTCCGGCCTCTCCCCGCTGTGTCGTAATTTAAAGTGGCGTACTTCCGCTTTTTCGTCGGTTTTGTGTGAGCAGTCTTCAGCGGAAACTCAGGAAAATCGATTTGTCCACACAGCCAGTGTCATAAACAGAAGTTGTGTTTTGAGAAACGTGCATTTTAGCCCCATTTGTGTCACGAGAGGTCAGACGCTTCTCGAGTATTTGCTGATACAGGTTATAGGAAGTTGCGTCAATTCTTTTGTCCCTGACACGAATAGTAACTTTGGTATTTGTTCGGAACTTGTGGTGTCCCGTGTCTGTTAATTTTCGTGAGTTTTGTTACATTAGTGACTAAGTCACGCAAGGTATTTTTCACCCTTGCTAGTCACGTGAGAACCAGGAGATATTTGATGAATTCACCGAATCAGATACTTTAGTCAGTTTAATTTGGATAGCAATGCGGACACAATATTTTTCCAACTAGTGCCAAGTTCAGAGAATGCGCTAGGAGGTTCCTGTGGTTGCGTATTTCTCTTTGCCTTATTTAGAGCTGCCATCTAAGATGGAGTTTATTTTACTTTCAGTACGTCGCTTGTTTATTACACAGGCGTTTCCGCCAGATGGTGACACCTGTTGGAAAGGCTCGTAAATACTGACAACAGTCACAGTGATGTAACTTAAAAATGGCTTATGGCCGATAAGATTCATGTACGTGTGTATTTATGTGTGATGACTTTGTGTGGCCATTACAGTAATGATGGAGGCAGCAAAGACCTTTGTAAGCTATCAGACTCGGCCGTGACGTTAGGTCCAGATATGGATTAATAGTACAAACCAGCATTACGTATAAGATACAGCCGCCTCTCTGATTTGTTATCCATTACTGTCTCCTATTGAGGTTATGTCTGTTTTACGTATTTGCCTGTCCCTTCCCTTTCACTTAGAAATGGTTTTGGCATGGGTACTTGAAGTGAAATCTGTTGTTATAATTAATTATCATCGAAAAGGGATGTATTCGTAATGATGAAACTATTTGTTTAATTTTAAATTATTTGCATTTCACACAGGAATGTAAACTTTTGTGGCCTCCCAGTCTTCGCGCCATGAATCCCCACCAGCCCATCTCGTTTTTCTGCACTTATTACAAAATTTGTTATATTGCTGTCTACCTAATTTTTTCATGCCAGAGTAAAGAATGAGGTATATCATCTCTGAGGTTCTGTAAAATAAATTCTGTATCTTTGTATCTCGTTTTTGTCGTGACATAACCTAGAGTAATTACTGGATTGGTCATGTCATATTTGTCGTCAGATTTCTGCAGTTATTTCAGATGGTATTTGTAATTATACCAGCAAACGAAATTATAATTAGCGTGTTTGTGCTCTTAATTGTAGTGCATTTACTTGTATATGATTTTGTTTTTGCGGACGAAAGCAAATTTGTCTAAAGTGCCACAAAATTTGTTGTGTGTTTTGAATTCATGATTATGACTATTCTGTAAGTTATTAATACCCCTTGGCAAATTTGTCTTTGTAACGTTTCGTTGCTTTCTTTTGTTTTAGGTAAGTTCCTTCAGCCTCTGGTGAAATTGCAGCCCTCCACAGTGTAATGAGTAAGTGTGACACGTAATTTACTACTTGGTATCATTCCGTTTCCGTACGTGTAACACGTGTAATAATCTGGTTTTCGTTATGTTTCGTTTCGGGCAATAAAATAGTTTGTTTTTCCGTCGTTCGGTAACATAACCCCGGTTACATCACGCTTATAGGAAACCTCGCTGTACCCTTTCCAGGAACGTGTGTAGTAGAGATGGTGCAGCCTGTAATCAGCTATGACGGATTAGGTCCTATGGCCTGTTGCAGTTCGGGATGATCCTCATTGAGCTATTATTAATCTTTCTAGGATGTGATAGGATTTCTTGAAAGCTTGTACCTGATCAGAAGGACGCTGACACCTTATTTCTCTGTTTTGCGTCAGGTTCGGGGAACGCGTAAGCGAGCTGAAATGAAACTGGTTTTGTCACGTTCGTGTGGATACAAGTCGCCTTGGCCTTGTTTAGAGCTGCCATCTAGGATACGAAGTTAGCAGATGTTTTCACTTTAATGCGGAAGAAGACGAAGACGGAAGTTGTAGAAGGCCGTGTGTATCTTGAAGTGTATCCGGTCTGTCGCCCCGCTCTGCGTAAGATACGTGCACGCTGTGACCTGTTAATTTTCCAGTTCCACGGCACGTCAGAAGCGTAACGAAATGTAATTTGCCAGCTTATTTTATTACG